CGGGCGGGTCCCTGCCTTGGACCTGGACGTGGCGCTCCCTACCTCGCACGTAGAGGTTGGCTGGTGAGGAGTAGCGGACGCCGGCGCTGTTGGTGGCCACACACTCGTACTTGCCCTGATCCGTCTCCTCGCTGCTCTCGATCTGCAGGGCCCCTGGAGGGAGAGGGAGAGGACTTGGCCACCGAGTGGGGCCCTGGGGCTGAGCCTGGCCGAGAGCGAGGGAAAGTGTCCAGCTACCCCGTGGCTCCCCGACCCCCGCCCGGCCTGCACACTCGGCTCCCCAGCGAAGCCTCCACTCTGGGCCGGGGATTCAGCTCACAGGTTCCACCACCTGCCTCACAAGCACAAGGTCCTGAGTTCGATCCCCGGTACCAAAGCAAAAACCAAAAATCCTCCACTCTCACCCCAAGAGGGGCTCACTGCGAGGCTGGTGGCCTTGCAGGCCACGAGGTACGCGTGCTGGGGGCACGAGCCCCACGATGCTCCCCACGCAGCGCAGAGGGAGGCTGACGTTCGCCCCCCGTCAGTCTCTGGGGAGACACAGGGACCCAGGGGCCGCCACGCGAGGCGAGACGCACGAACCCTGGCAGCAGACCCAAGCCCGTTAGCACCCACGGGTGTGGGAGGACGCAGGGCTCCTGTACTCTGTAATTAGAGTAGGTTGAAAAGGCCCGAGTGCATTTGAAATCAACAGCCTGGGGCAAAGAATCTGTTGGCTGTTAGTGAATAAAGGTAGAAAGGAGCCGGATGTAGGGGCACCGGAGACCTCAGCACTCAGGAGGCTGAAGCAGGAGACTGAAAATTCCAGGTCAACCCGGACTGGACTGCGTCACTAGACACTGTCTCCACGAAACAAAACACAAAGCAGAGGCCAAGTTCTCAAGCATATTTAAAGTCACAGGCCCAATCCCAGTCTGTGCTCCCGAGTTCATGAAAATAGGGCTCACTTCTGCCTGAAATCACAGGAGTTAGTTCAAAGTCTGGATTTCCCCTTTCTTTCTTTCTAACTGGAGGCAGGGTCTCACTATGTCACCCAGGCCGGCCTCCGACTCTGGTGGTCGGGCGTGTGCCAGCCCGCTGGCTTAGTCCTGACTTCTGTCCGCCTGCTGACATGTGCGGAGGGAGATCGGAGGACACCCACGAGCGTGCCTGAACCGCAGCCACCCTCGGGGCCGGGGCGCAGGAGCCCCGAAACCCTGTCTCAGCTCACCGGCTGCTTCTGGCTGTGAGGCGGACCATGGACAGCGTTTCTGGGCACAGCAGGCAAGGCTCTGCCCCACAGTGCGTCTCGCTTGCCCCAGGCTCTAGGGAAGGAGGCGTGGAGCCCAGAGAGGGCGCGGGGAGGCCTGCGTGTCACACAGCACTTTGAGGAAAGCTGGGCCCGATGCGGTCTGTTTCCCAGGCCCACTCTAGTCCCTCCTCTGAGGCAGCACTGGGGCTGGGGCCAGGTTCAAATCTGGCCTTTGGGAACACCCCCAGGCCACTCAGCTCCAGGGGGGCCTGTGCCACCTCCCACTAGGGGGCCCCGGAGAGTCACCCACTGCCGCACTCGGGGCCACAGACAGACAGAGACACAGAGACGGCTGGGCACTGGGAAGGGTGGTGAGCAGGGGTGCAGGGTGGGGTCTGGGGCACAGCGCGGCCCCCGTGGAACCCAGGGGCCAGCGCGTGTGGGCGGCACCTTACCTCGGATTGGAGTACTCTCTGTAAGGGAAGCAGAGACAGCAGTGAGCGGGAGGCAGGCGCCCGGCCTCTGAGGCGCTGGGGCGCCCTCTGGGGGGCTGGGGGCTTCTCGAGGAGGCAGGAGGGGCTGGGCCGAGATGCACGGACCCCCCATTTTTGGCATTTCGGGGGGTCCAGCGAGGCCGCTGCTGTCACATCCAGGCAGGGGAAGAACAGGAACACAGGGTCTCGGGGTCTTGTTAGACGGGACAGGAGGTGTTAGTGCCCCAGGGCTGCCACTGAGGAAGCAGAGGGAGGGCGTCTCCAACAGGCCGAGGAGGGGACAGGGAAGGGAACCCTGCAGCTTGTCCCCAGCGGAGGAAAAGAGGAAAGGGCCTGGGCCTGGGAGGAAGGGGTGACTCTGGGGACCCAGGAGAGACCAGGCTGGACAGAGACGCCCGCGGCTCTCCTCCCCGAGGAGACAGGACCCCAAGACGGGAGCGGGAAGCTGGCACTGGAGCCACACGGGCACAGAAACACAGCTCCGTCCACACAGCCAGGTCCGCTTTACAGACGGGTAAACCAAGTGGGGACCGTGGAGTTCCTGAGGTCAGGGCGTGAGGCAGAGGCAGAGGCAGGAGGGGCCGGGACCAGCTCTCACATTCTCCTTTGAGACTCTCAACCCTTTCAGGGCCACTCTGCCGGCTTCCTGTGGGTGCCAATGGGAATGTGCCAGTGGCCGTGCCGCAGAGGTGTGGAGTCAGCCAGAACCCTAGGTTTGCCCGCCCGTGCTCTAAACTGCCTCACCAGACTGTGAGGCCGCAGGAGAGGCCAGGGCTGAAGAACCAGGCTCCCCAAGATGGCCACATCGTCCAAGGCCACTCTGTGGGGTATCAAGAGCAGATCCTTGAGTGATTAAAGGTAGATCTGCTTCCTAAAATGAGCGGGAGCTCTCATGGGCCAATACCAGTCACTCTCACCTTAGTAAGAATTAGCCCAGCGATCCATTTCAGAGAGGAAGCTAGATGCTGGGAAAAGAGTGAGAAATACCCCAAACCAACCCAGCTGGAAAATTACCAGCTCCAGCTCTCCAACTTTGCTAATTAAATCCTTTTCCAGCCATACTAAATCCCAGAATAAGGCAGGAGGACCGTGTACGCTGTGCAAGTCCACCAGCCCGAGGGGGCTGCTCTGAGGACGCCTCTGTTCCGGGCTGAGCTCTGATGGGGCCCTTGGGAGTGGCCCCCTTTCCTCTTTTCCTTCTGGGTCGGTCGCTCTGCACCCACTGGGGCCCAGCTGGGGAGGACCGGGTGGGCAGTGGGGATGTTAGCAGACATGCCACACGGAGTCACAGTTACCGTCACGGTGGCTGTTAGTTCTGGGGAAAGGGACAGGAGGGGGACACAAGGGGAGCCGGGGCGTTAGTTTTGACACGGTGAAGATGTTGGACTTACCAAAGGTTTCTGACCGTTACACAGAAGGACAAGAAGAGAGAACAGCGACGTTAAATGAAGATCACGCAGAGGCTGCGTGTGGGGCCCGAGGGGACCCAGGAATCAGCACTGGGGTCCTGCAGGCACCGTGCACGGAGGGGGTGGGCACGGCGCAAACTCGCTGGCACGTGGCACATTGCACAGGAAGCCGAGGCCCACGAGGGCACTGACGCAGGGACGGGGAGCTGGCGCCAGGCTTGGCAGGGACAACAGGACAGTGAGGGCCGCGGTGGCTCCTGAGTGGGGCTGTGAGGGCAGGCGGCCCTGAGGACCGGCTGGGAGGCCC